TAAATTGCTTCCCCTCATGTCATTTGCTATAAACAGAGTGAGAGTGGATATTTATGGGGTATATATTGTTTAAATAAGCATTCAATGTTGCTTCCGAGATATATTTTTTTCTCCTAAAAAATGCCACATGAAAACCGTGTGGATACATTGAGTGTGATGGGCAAGCGGCCCCCACCTGTCTTCATTTTAAGTGGTCCATCTCTTTTGCTCAATTTCTGCCTTGGCACTGCCAACTCGCTCCTTTTAAGTTGTCTTCAGGACATTTCCCCATGGCTGCTGGCAAAAGCCTTTCTATTTCAGCTTTTAATGGAAATTAACTCTATAGACAACTCTTGGGTATTGTGTTGTGTTTTTCACAATATATAAATTGGCCCCTGGATCACCTCCCAGGTTTCTCTTACTAACAAATTCACTCAAATCTGTTGTTATCCACACTATGCACTTAGATAAACAGATATCATAACACAAGGAAAGACAAGTTCAGACCAATGGTATGTTTGTTCCACACTGGTTCTGTATACCTTCCCAAAACTATTACGCAAAGAAACCACTGACTAAATCTTAACCAAGTTTACCCTGCAACCCAGTTAAATACATGTTAATTACAGAGGTCAACTTTTTTTTTCAAAAGTTTTGCCTCCTGAAAAACGTTTGGTGATTATGATAGACCCCTTCAAACTGAACACAAATATAATTTCAGAATGACTATTATGTAGGAATCTTGAAAAATATGAAATTAACTTTTAATGACTGTAATGTATTTAACTGCATAATGTTTCTGACATGCTGTATGAATTCAGCAGGACTAAAAGTATTTTGCTGCTGATTTTTGTTTGTATTCTGTGTCTGATGCATCCCACTGTAGTGTCCAGCACTGATGGATTCCAGTTGCCATGATACCATTTTTCAATTGTGGCAAAGTCGTGGTGAAACTTTCACCATATTCATCCTCACTGCTCCTAGATTTTGGGGAAAGAAGTCCCAAGTGTGAATATAGAAAATGAATCTTCAGTGACATGTTGCACTTCAAGGTCTTGTATGCTGTAAGAAGTTTGCCAACCAATTGAATATAGTTTGATGCTTTATAGTTGAGAAAATTCTCAGTGACATCCTTGAATGCTTTCCAGGTGATTTTCTCTGGTCCAATTAAGAGTCCTTTCAACCACTTGTCATTGATGACATACCTAATCTGTAGCCCAACAAAAACGCCTTCCTTAATCTTGACATCAGATTTTTTGAAAACATCTGTCTCAAATCATGAAAACTTTTACCTTTTTTGTTCATCACTTTCACAATTTTTTTCATCAGCCCAAGTTTTATGTGAAGCTGAGGCAAAAAATATATTTGAACTACTTGTTCAACAAGTAGTTCCTGTGCCACTTTTTTTTTTTTTTGCTGAAAAATTCAGAGTGGCCATTTCTTTTCAATGTAATGTGACTCTCACATACTACATCGCTCCACATCCATCCTCCAACCCCACCTATCAACTGTTCTTTGGGTGGTTAATCAGAGGCCTTGAAAAGACTCTGGATTTATCCTCCAAACAACAACCAACTGTTAAGGTATCCTTGCATCCACACTACCTAAAGCTTCTTATGGAACCATTGACAAATTTGTATTAACAGCTTTATGCCATCATAAAGGTATTTGTCTTGATGTGTTCTGAAAAGGGAACATTTCTTTGAGAAAAAACTGTCTGGAAGAAACTGCACCAATGTCACGTTTGTTCTACAATAAGTGATTGTCCAGAGAAGGCCATTCAAGTTTGCACTAAAACATTTTGGAGAACAGAATCTGAAGTGGTTCTCCACTTCAAGCAAATATTGATGTATAGATCAAGTTGACTGAAATCCATGACTTTGGTGCCATAAGAGAGCATCCTGAACTTTTGATATGTATTATGTATTTCTTATATCTTCTATTAAAAGGCAATCTATTGCTTCCTCCTAGAAGCACCAAAAGTGATGCTCAACAAGATTAGAAAACTTCCTTTCCAAAAATGACAATCTCCAGATGTGCTGAGAATGCAACTCTGAGATTTCTCAGGAATCCTAGAATTTAGAAGTGCCAGTTTAGGGAAGGCTGCTGAAAATAGCAAAATGCAATCTCCACATGCGTGGAGTCGGCATTCATATCTACTACATTCATAGCTCACATGTATGAATTCATGGAGTGATTTAACTATGGTTTCTTGAATGAACCACAATTGGCTGTATTCACATAATGCATTGAACTAGAAATCAAAGTGCAGCAGTTACAGTACCATGTAGCTGTAATGCATTGGGCCAGCTAACCGTTGTGTATGGGGAGTGGAGGTGATTGTTAAATACCAGACACCTAAATGGAAGCCACATTCCTTCCTAATCATGATGACCTGCCCCATGGCGCCATGTGATTTCCTGACTTATGCATTCAGGCATTTTATTAATCTCCTAACTCTCCTTCCATGATAACTCAAAGCCATGCATTTGCCTGGGTTTGCCAGTATTTTATATTTAGCTTTTGCCTTGGAGATTTCCTGTACAGAAACATGGGTAATCCCTGCAGTTGCAGTGAGAGTTAGGCTTGGGTTAGAGAGTTAGCGAGCAAGAAGCAACTTGAAACTCTCTTTGGACAATAATGTATATGGGGCTGTATCGGGGAGTCTCTCTCTTAATACCTTGTTCCCCTTGTTCCAGCTTTGAAATGGAAATCCCTAAGTGAATGAAAATACCGTTCATTCATATAAAATACTAAGCCAAAATGTGTTTCTTTGTGGCATTTTTCATGGGGTTCTGCATATTATTATTAAATGACAGTAATAATACCGCTAATAATTTATTACATTTATATGCTACCCAACCCCCAGCAACTGCTAGACTCATAATTCTACAGATACCTATGTGGCATAGTGTTGCATGAAATCAACCACTGAGATTTGTAAAGTATAAGGTATGGGACGGGAACATAGTAAATTGTGCCTTTTCAATACACAGTGATTAAAGAATTCTTTAGCGTGTAGCATGACAACATCTTCATAATGTTTTATGAACCAGATTAGAATTTGTGACATTGATTTGGATTACAAATTGTGAGAAATCATGGTTTGTTGAGTAAACCTCAACTGCTGGGTTCATACAACACATTACATTATGATTAGGTTAACTATGATTTGTTAACTGAATCATGATGGCTTGTTTGTAGAATACAATAAGCCAAAACCAAACAAATCATCTTATGACTAGTGCAGTTTGTGAACTATACCACTCAGGATTTCCTTAATTTTATTTCCAAGAAAATTTATATTTAGAAAAAAGAGTTTTAGAAAATGTGGGCCCTGACCCTTAGCTTGATACATCTAGACCAACATATCCACCACTATCAATTAAAAGCAGCTACCCAGTTATTGGGTTTTCCTCTCCTTAATAGGATATTTTTTTTTGGCAGGAAAAAGGTTTAAAAAAAGTGCTTGTCTACAATTTAAAGACAAGAACATCTGGAACGTCTTCCTTTCTTCAAAGAAGAGATAACTCTTCTTTGAAGAGTTTCTTCTTATAACCGGAAAAAAACCAATGTTCCCTTCTCCGTGCTTCCTTTTTCTTGCTAGCATTTTCCAGCAAGTGCAAGTTCTGTTCTATGTATCAATTTAAAATGTTCATAGAAGAGCAGGCAGAGCGGGGATGGGGAGGAATTAAACGTACTATTGGTTTAGAGCAGTGGTGGGTTTCAAATTTTTTTTACTACCGGTTCTGTGGATGTGGCTTGGTGGGCGTGGCTTGGTGGGCGTGGCAGTGGAAGGATACTGTAAAATCTCCATTCCCACCCCACTCCAGGGGAAGGTTACTGCAAAATCCCCATTTCCTCCCAATCAGCTGGGACTTGGGAGGCAGAGAATAGATGGGGGCAGGGCCAGTCAGAATTTTTACTACCGGTTCTCTGAACTACTCAAAATTTCTGCTACCAGTTCTCCAGAACTGGTCAGAACCTGCTGAAACTCTGGTTTAGAGTCCTTGTGTTACCAAAAGAGATCCAAGTTTGCCCCATCTCATGAATTCCATTGACTTTTATCTAGCACCAATTTAGTACTGACCATTTGTTGACTAGTTTCTTGTCCATAGAGACTGAATAAATCTTCTATGCTGCAAATTTAGGAATGATCCTGATTAATTGCGCCTGACATCGCCGTATGTTTCTCTCTTTCATTCAGCTGACAAAAAAGTCTGTACCTCAGACCGAGCCATCTCCAATCTAAGGCTCTCCAGATATGTTAATCCAACACATTTCAATGGCATCACTTTGCAGAACTAGAGTGATTCGTATGAATTTGCTAGAAATGCTAATCTGATACCTGTGAGAACAATCAGCCAATGGAACAGCTTGCCTTCAGAAGTTGTGGGAGCTTCTTCACTGGAAGATTTCAAGAAGAGACTGGATTGCCATCTGTCAGAAATGGTATAGGGTCTGCTTCGGCCGGGGGTTGGACTAGATGACCTACAGGGTCCCTTCCTACTCTGTTAATCTGTATCTATTTGTATCTGTACCTATAGTTCTTGTGGCCATCGAAGTGTGCAAAGGGAGGGGATTTTTTATTAAAAAAAAAAAAGCAAGGAAAGGAAAATGAACAAAATATTAAGGATTTTAATGGAAGAAGAGATGAGCCTGAACAGACTGTTAAACTGAACTACTTGTCCAAACAGCATTAGAAAAAAATATATATATATATAAATTAGCTACTATGAAGGAGGAGGTGGAGAAGCTGTTTAAATAGTAATAAAAACAGATACCTAAAACCTTTTTGCAAATAAATAAGGCATTTTTTTCCTAGTAAATATGCACAAGCTTTTTTTTTTTTAATTTAAATGATCGTTGCAGTTAGAGCTTGGAACATTTAATGAAAATGGAGTTATTGCACACAAGTGTCAAGGGAGACTGTTTTATTTGCATCAGAGTGTCTCATATTTTTAAACAATGATTCATCTGCCATTTCAGTTTCTGTCCTCAGAATGCAATCAGCACACAAAATAGTTACTGTTGTACTGAATGTACTGATTGTGGTTTTTTTTTTTCCAGGCACAGAGCAATGACTGCTGTGTCTGTGGCTTGCAAGTGCCAGCCTAGCCAGCTGTTGTGGATTGATAGCTCGTGCTAACCCTCTACAGCTTACATTAATCAATAGCAAAGAACACGGAGACTGGTACGTTCCAGTCTAAATTCCATGTAGAAAGTAGGGAAGGCTATGTAGATTTAGCAGGAAGGGACAACTGGTCTAGTTCAGAAAAATAAAAGCTTGCTTTGGTTGGAGTGATTTCTTCTATTTGCAAAACAACAACAACAACCCTGTATGGGGGGTGGGGGAGGGAGGGACAACCACGGATCTTTGAGTATGATTTTTCTGTGTCACTGAAATAGCTGTTTCAGTGCTGGATGAGAAAAACCTTAAACCTGGTTGATTGGCAACCAGCACCCCCAAAATTGCATGCAGCCTTGGCTTAAATATAAACAGTTTTTATAAACGGTAAGATCAGGCATCTGACTAAAACAATCTGTCCCTCCTTTTCTGGGTGGGAAGAGGGAGAACAAACGGGGAAAATGTGAATGTATGTGTTAGAAAATATAGAAGACAGGCGAAATGTGCTTTCAAATGAGGTATTTGTGTGGTAATTGCTCAGCCTCAAACTGTACAGAATAATATTTTTTCCTATTTGTAACCATGCTGTCTTTTTCCAATGTCTTTTACATCTCTTTTCTTCTTCCAAACAAAAACTGAAAATATAGTATGGGCATCAAGTAAGGTTGATCTGGGTTGTAAGACTCAAAAGGACCACCAGATGGAAGGAAAGTGATATCTCCTTGCTGCCATCTAGGGGTAGCTCTGAGGCAATGGATAAGCAGTTTTAGAAACAGCTGTCTATGGAGATTCTGAGTCATCCAGGTCATGGTTGTCCCAAAGGTGCTTTTTTCCAAGAGGCAACTGGATTTTCTGGTTTTTCTTTGAAGATGTTTTGCTTCTCGTTCAAGAAGCTTCTTTAGTTCTTCAAAGAAAAACCAAAAAGTCCAGTTGCTTCTTGAAAAAAAAACCACCTTTTGGACAGCTTGTCTAGAGAGAGAAAGAACAGAGACAAAGATGACTCACTTCTTCTGTTCTGACCCAAACAGAGGTGGGTTTCAGCAGGTTCTGACCAGTTCTGCAGAACCGGTAGCGGAAATTTTGAGTAGTTCGGAGAACTGGTAGTAAAAATTCTGACTGGCCCCACCCCCACCTATTCTCTGCTTCCCAAGTCCCAGCTGATCGGGAGGAAATGGAGATTTTATAGTATCCTTCCCCTGGAGTGGGGTAGGAATGGATATTTTACAGTATCCTTCCCCTGCCACGTCCACCAAGCCACGCCCACCCAGCCATGCCATGCCATGCCACGCCCACCAAGCCACACCCACAGAACCAGTAGTAAAAAAATTTGAAACCCACCACTGGACCCAATCCATTCCTGGATTCAGTCCCACCTATCTTGACCTACCCCAACACGTTGTCATTGAAGAATACAGTTCTTTGCACAGAAAAGTCATTTTCGTATGCTTGTGCTTGGCTAGCAGTATGTACATCAGTGGTGTTCCCTAAGTTAGTCCCCTCCAGATGCAATGGACCAATTCCTGTTTTCAGCCCTGTTAGGGAACCTGAACCTGACCATTTACTTATTGGTTCCCTCGTTGCATAACATCACAGCAATGAAACTTGCATGATGCACTGGGCAATACTGATAATTATTATAATTAGACAAAGAACATCCTATTTGAATGAGGCATCAAGTGAGGTACTAATATCAGTCTATAAAGCCCTAGTAAGACCACATCTAGAGTACTGCATCCAGTTTTGGTCACCACACTACAAAAAAGATGTTGAGACTCTAGAAAAAGTGCAGAGAAGAGCAACCAGGATGGTTGGGGGACTGGAGACTAAAACATATGAAGAACAGTTACTGTAGGCATGGCTGATCTAGTGAAGAGAAGGACCAGGGGAGACATGATAGCAGTGTTCCAATATTTGAGGGCTGCCACAGAGATGAGGGAGTCGAGTTATTTTCCAAAGCAGCTGAAGGCCAGACAAGGAATAATGGATGGAAACTGATCAAGGAGAGATTCAACCTAAAAATGCGAAGGAACTTTCTGGCAGTGAGAACAATCAACCAATGGAACAGAAGTTGCCTTCGGAAGTTGTGGGAGCTTCATCACTTGAGACTTTCAAGAAAAGATTGGACTGTCATTTGTCAGAAATGGTGTAGGGTCTCTTGCTTGAGTGGAAGGTTGGACTAGATGACCTATAAGGTCCCTTCCAACTCGATTAATCTGTTAATCTGAATGTACTGTATAGGAGAGAGACGGTGATTTTAACTTTGTGCCTTCCTTCTGAACATTTGAATCCAGCTTCAGATCCAGAAATATTGCACAGCTGAAACCTGTTCCAAAATTCAAGATAGCATCATTTGAGTTCTACATGTTAAAAACAAGAATGCATTAAAGATTCATGGAAACAATTGGAAAACCAATTTAAAATGAGAGGTTGTGTGCATGGTTTTGCTTGTTGATTTTAGTTTATATATTGTATGACCAGCTTTGGTTGTTCACACAGGGTTTTGAAGAAGAAGAAAAAGCACTAGTATACAGAAACCCCCCCCCAAAAAACCCAACCTGTGAGCCATTTTTCAAAAGACTTAATATTATGAACTATTAAGTCTTTTGAAAAAAAGCTTTTAGCTATATACTTTTCGGGCTTCTGTTTTGCTTGAAAAGATTTTGCATTGAAAATTACAGTTTGGTAACAAATTTTGGAGGCCTTTGGAGGCTGAAGTGAATACTTGTAAAGAGCCACAGACTTCAGAGGGATCTGCATTCCTGATCAAAATGTTGCCTTTTGTTTCATTTTTCCCATTACGGAGCACCTCAAAGGGATAAGGTTACAGCAATAATAAGTACTGCAGTGGAGTAGAATTGAATTTTTCTACCATTGGCATTATGCTATGCTGCGCTACTGTAAGAGTTTAAGAACCAATGGTACTATTCTCAGTGGTCATAACTTGCAGATAAGATTCTTTTGTAAAGGTGAGATCATACCGTATGTTGGCAATGAGGAGAAGAAAAAGTAAGGGTGATTCCATATATTAGTTCTTGAGAATGTGGGAAATCTTTCTAAGCAAATTAGAAGCCTATCTTCTTTTAGCAACTGTTCCATTTAATATTAAAATATTGGATTTACAGGCAGTCCCTGGGTTAATTAGGGTCTGTTAATCAGGGACTGGACCTGGGTTTTAATATACCATGTTTTCCTGAAAATAAGACTCTGTCTTATATTTTTTTGAATCCTGAAATAAGCGCTTGGCCTTATTGCCATGCACTCAAAAGCCTGTCTGGGCTTATTATCAGGGGATGTCTTATTTTGGAGGAAACAGGGTATTATATTAAGGTCTTGGACTTATACAGGCAGTCTTTGCGTCTATTAACCCAGGGATTGGTTAGTTCCAGCCTTCATAGTACAGTGGTCTAAAGCACCCTGTTATTAAGACCAGCTGCCTGCAATTACTGCAGGTTCGAATCTCGCCAGGCTCAAGGTTGACTCAGCCTTCCATCCTTTCTAAGGTAGGTAAATTGAGGCCCCAGTGGTGGGGGCAATAAGCTGACTTTGTATAAATATACAAAAGGATGAAGGCTATTGCTTAGCGCATTGTAAGCAGCCCTGAGTCTCCGGAGAAGGGCGGCATATAAATCAAATTTTAAAAAAAAACCTGATTAAAGGCCTGGAGACTAAAATATATGAAGAACGATTGCAGGAATTGGGTATGGCTAGTCTAGAGAAAAGAAGGACTATGGGGAATATGATAGCAGTATGCCAGGATTTGAAGGGCTGCCACAAAGAAGAGGGGATCAACTTATTTTCCAAAGCACCAGAAGGCAAGACAGGAAACTAATCAAGGAGAGAAACAACCTGGAATTAAGGAGAAACTTCCTAACAGTGAAGACAGTGGAACAGCTTGCTGTTAGTTGTGGGTGCTTCATCAGGGAGTTTTTTAAGAAGAGACTGGACAGCCATTTGTCTCAGATTGTATAGGGCAGTGGTGGAAAACCTATGGCATGTGTGCCAGGGGTGGCATGCAGAACCCTCTCTGTGGGCATGCGTGCCGTCGCCCAAGCTCTGTTTCGAGTCTCTGCCGTGCATGCATGTGTGTCTCCCACTTGCCAGCTGGTCTTCAGGTCTCTGCCGTGCATGCACGGGGCACACACGCACAAGCGCCCACAACTTGCAGTTTGGGCGGGGCGCGGGTACATGTGTTGGGTGCACGCATGTGCCCATGCCTTGCAGTTTGGGCACGCATGCGCATTTTGGGAACTCGGTGCCAAAAAGGTTCGCTATCACTGATATAGGATCTCCTGCTTGAGCAAGACTTCCACGGTCCCTTCCCACTCTATTCTGATTGATTGTTCACAAGTTCTGTGTATAACCCAGATTTGCATTTCAGTCAGAACTCATACTTGCAAACAGACTGCCTATTATTAAAAATGGAGAGCCACATTGCCCTTCCTCATGCCCTTGTCACCTCACGGTTAGACTATTGCAACGCGCTCTACATGGGGCTACCCTTGAGAAGTGTTCGGAGACTCCAGTTGGTCTAGAACGCAGCCACACGAGCTGTTGTGGGTGCACCTAGGTACACCCACATTACACCAATTCTCCGCGAGCTGCACTGGCTCCCTATTGGTCTCTGGTCACAATTCAAGGTGTTGGTTATTACCTTTAAAGCCCTACATGGCTCAGGGCCAGGTTATCTTCGAGACCGCCTTCTGCCGCATAGCTCCCAGCGACTGGTAAGATCCCACAGAGTTGGTCTCCTCCAGGTCCTGTCAGCTAAACCATGTCGGCTGGTGAGCCCACAGGGGAGAGCCTTCTCTGTGGCTGCCCCAGCTCTCTGGAACCAGTTACCTCCTGAGGTCTGGACCATCCCCACCCTATTGGCCTTCCGGAAAGCGGTGAAGACCTGACTTTTCCGGCAGGCCTGGGGCCGTTGATCTTGCTCTTGTGATCTGGCGAGATCCAACCATGAATGGTGTGAATGAGTTTTTAATGTTTTTAATGTTTTTTTAATTTTTCAATGTCTTTCTATAATGATTTTTTAAATGTATTGTGAGCCGCTCTGAGTCTTCGGAGAGGGGCAGAATATAAATTTAATTAATTAAATTAATTAAATTAAATTCCTTGAGGCAAGAAAGTGCTGAAGATGTGCAATGGTTTCAGCAACTGCTAAAAATGGCTAAAAACAGGCTATATATTAACAATGTGCGGCTTCAGCATTTCAGCACTTCAGGCTTGAAGAAGGTGAATGCAATCCTCCATTTTTAGTGATAGGAAGCCCATTCATGTCTATGAGTTGCCTTCAAGGCAGGCATTCTTAATCTGGGGAGTGTCTGTATACTAAACATCACAATACACAGACCTACACACTCACACACATTGTCAGTAAAATCTGAATGATTTTCTTTTTTAAAAAAAAAGAAAAAGAAAAACATGATTATCAGATAATGGAATGTAATTGTGGTCAAATCATTCAAACATTAAGGACCACAATTTAATTGAAAGTAATTATAGTCTTTCTGAAGTATAATTGTAGAATATCCTTTCCCTTGACATTTCTACTGCAGAATGAAACATAAAATGTTGTCAGAATTGTGCATTTTCCATTGCACGATTCCAGTCTGACAATAAAAGAGGCTAAGTATCAGGGCAGAAAGAAAAGTTAGGGGAAACAATTTCACAGGAGAAGATGCTATGAATGTTTTTCTTTTACGTTGAAGAAAAAATGAGCTCCCTTGTATTTCAAAACCAAATCATTATTATGAAACTGTGCCAAAGACTTCAGACAAACTGTGAAGGATCAGATCATCCATCCAGCTGACTAACACTGCATTCTCACAATGGACAAATAAATGTTAACGGGTCACCAAAGCAACAACGGTCTCCTATTCCTTTTTGCTCAGCAACTGATAGCAAAAGACATTCTAGCTACTGCAAATCTTATGCCTAGTTCCCTTTTCAAATGTCCCAAAGGAAAGGTATCTCAATATCTTGAGGCAGTGAATGCTATAGCTTAGCTAGTTGCAGTATGAACAAGTATTCCATTCATCTAGTGTGAATCTCTTTTGCTTCAGCTTCCCTAGATTCACTTTCTCTACATTGTCCCAAAGGTGTTTTTTTCAAAAGGCAACTGGACTTCCTTTGTTTTTCCTTGAAGACGTTTCACTTCTCATCTAAGAACTGAAGAAGCTTCTTGGATGAGAAATGAAAGGTCTTTAAAAGGAAAAACAAAAAAAAGTCCAGTTGCCTTTTGAAAAAGCACCTTTGAGACAACCATGACCTGGATGACTGGGAATCACCATGGATATTCTCCACGGTGTATTTATAATTGTAAGAACTCTTAATGTGTTCTATTCCCACACTGACTGATTCATTTTTTTTCTTTCAAAAGTAAAAGTCTCCAATTGTAACTGTTTCTCATGAGGAAGATTTTCAGTGCTTTTCTATATAGGATTCTTCTCGCTCCTCAATAACCTTCCTGAGAGAAAGGGATCAGAATTATGACAGTGTTTAATTCTAGGTAAAACTGATTACATAGCGAATTCCCTGTGGTCATGCCCTACTTTATTCTATAGGATTTTCAATATTGGCCATTTCTCTTGGATGACTTTCTGGAAGATGTAGAACAAAATAGATTCGCCTTTTTTTATAGTTTCTGCCCCTGGATTCACTCACACATTACATTTAGTGGATCCTATTTACACATCTCATGTGTGCATATAAATAATCTGACAATCCTAGGGAGGTAATGGAATTTTTGAGAGAGCATTTTAGTGTCTTGTGGGATACTAAACATAGTGAAATATTTTGGGAAGGAAAGGGTTCAAAAGAAATTATCATCCCATGGCTGCTGCTGACCTTGTCAATACCTGCTTCCTAGGATAAATTCCTTCAATCTGCCCAATGATAAGGCTGATCCTTGGCCAGCTGCATTCAGAAGTCTTTCTCTTCATTTGGTTGCCCAGATTTCTGTTCCCAAAGACCTTCCCTGATTATAATCGGTTGAGTAAAACCAATTGAGTAAAACGGTTGAGTAAAACGTAAGTTGACTATATTCCCCCATAGCTCTAAGCCAGTGCTTCCCAAACCTGTATATGAATTACTCAAAACTGACTAAAAGTGATTTTTGTTTGAGTAACAACACACAAACTCACTAGCCACTACCCATCACAATAGAGACATTTAAATAGACTTTAAAATTGCCAAATGTACTAAAATACGGTATATTCAAAACTCTCCCAAAGTATTCCTACTAAAACAAAAATCAATGAAGGTACCAATGGTAATTTATTGAAATGACATAATGATCATTCAGTGATACTGTTTTTATGATAGAGGTAGTTCTCAAGTTGTGACCATTTGTTGGGCGATCATTTAAAATTATGACGATGCTGAAGGAAGGAACTTAGACCAGACCTCAAAGTTTGATAAGATTTTCTAATAAGTTATTTAGAATTCAGCGTTTCTCAACTTTTGCAACTTTAAAATGTGTGGACTTCAACTCCCAGAATTCCCAGCAAGACTAGCTGGGGAATTCTGGGAATTGAAGTCTACATACCTTTAATTTTTCAAGGTTGAGAAACATTGATTTAGATAATGAAGGAAATAGTTTGGGAAACAGTACTTGGTTTTCAAGCCAGAAAGGATTTAACTAGACCCAAGCAAATCACATTAGGATTAAATGAAATGGTATTTGCAGGGGGGCAGGGGAGACAGTAATGTCAAAGCAATCAAGATGGCCATGGTTATGTGATTGAATACTTAGCTCTGATGCATGTAAAAAATTGGATTGCATAACCGTGGCTTCCATTTTGATGTTTTTGAACCACTCTCCAAGCCACCCACCTTGCACCCTGCAGATGGCCCGAGAAAACACTAATTAACATCCCCTGAGCAAAATATTGCTTTTAAATTCTATTTTCCTTCCTGGAAGCCATCAGAGGAATTTCTTGAAGGCTGGCTATTGAATGTAACATGCATTAGCTTTGCTTTCTTTTGGCAGGTGATCCGCATGGCCTCCTATCAGGATTCACCCCCTATTTAACTTCCTTCTTCAGTAAGGAGCAGCATTATTTACTATAATGAGACATCTAGGCGGAGTTGAGCAGTGAAAAGGTTATGTGGTTGTGTCCATTTGTTTTATGTCTTTGTGTTTGGCACTAGGCCTTGAAGTAAAGGCTGCTTTGTTGTCAAAGGTGGGCATGCAAATTCTATGCACTCCTCTTCTGGTGAAAGGGTTATGTATGTCTGTGTCACTGCCAAGCAGGTTGTAATGATTCAAGTTCATGCATTGTGGCCTAATTAAGTCTCTTTGCATCTATAGAGCTTTTAGCTGATCTCCAACCAGCTGTACTGTGCAGTTGTGTCCAGAAACAACATGCATTAAATTGGAAAACTTCAAAATCTGGTGAGTCTAATTTTTAATTACTAGCTAATATGGCTTTAGCAAGATGTAAGAATGAATGTACAACTACAACATCAGGGTGCTGTTGAAAAAAAATCCTCTTTGTGGTCTTAATATGTTTATTATTTGCGCAGCTTTATAAAATAAGATTATTTTGCTTTATTTTTCTAAACCAGAATATAACAATATATTTGACTTCTTTATATATCTAAAATATGTCAGGTTATGGATATGCAGATATATTAGCTTGAAATATAGAGAAAAGTGAGAACATTTCCATTTTTAGTTCCTTTTTAAATTTTATGAGAAGACATTTCCTTTTTTTTTTCTCAGTTTAGAATTTGCAGAAACATATATACTAGGCTGGCCACTATCTTTCAATTCAACTTACTTCATGGGTTGTGGGTGGTGAAATGAAAGAAGGAATGCTCTTAGAGGAAATGGAAAATGTTTATCTAATAAATAATAAGCCCGCAAAGAAGAAATAAATACCATAGTTTTGGACACGAATTAAAAAATGCATTAAGAAAGTGCTCTATGTAGATAGGTCTATGTAGATCACTTCACTAACTTAGAAAGTTTTTAAAAAGAAGCTTTAAGCACATTTTGTTATACTAACGTTTGATTGTGTATTGATGCAACAGCTGTGTGATGCACTCTTCAGTTCAAATCACGTCATTTCCACAATGTCACGATGTCCATGATGTCAATTGTCTTCCCCTCTCCCTCCCCATATAGATGCCCACAGAGAAAATATGCCTTAACCTTTTTTTTTTGATCATCTGATGTCAAATTATCAGGAGAGTGGTAGACATATTGGGATGGAATAGGGTACAGCAGTGGTGAAATGTAAAATTTGTTACTACTGGTTCTGTGGGCGTGGCTTGGTGGAGGGGGTAATGTGACTAGGTGGGGATGGCCGACTTTTTTTTTTAACTTTTAAAAGCATTTTTTCTACAACCTACTTGGCCAAAGAGGTTGTAGAAAAAAATGCTTTTAAAAGCCTCTGACGATCCCAGCTGAGCCGCATGATCATCAGAGGCTTTTTTTTTAACTTTTAAAAGCATTTTTTCAGCTGAAGAGATTGTAGAAAAAAATGCTTTTAAAAGTAAAAAAAAAAAGCGTCTGATGATCGCGCTGTTCAGCTGGGCATGGGAGGGAGCACAGGGATTTTTGCTACTGGTTCTCCGAACCACCTGCCACCATCGCTACCGGATCGGGTGATCCGGTCCAAACCAGGAGCATTTCACCCCTGGGGTACAGTATGTCCAAGAAACAGCTGGCCTCATGCATGAAGTTATTTTGACAGAGAGGGAAGCTTTTAAGCCAAAAATTCCATCAAGTTACGCGAGTCCTGCATGTTGAAAAACTACTAGTTGAAATTTTCTGGCTAAAAATGCACTATTCTGGCTAGAAATTAACCCAGCTCCTTTTTCTAGCTTTACAGGTAGAGAGTTGATCTCTCATGGATAAACCGAATAGATGGCAATAAAGGAATATGAAACTCCATACTTTCATATACGGAAGATAACAAGCCAGAAAAGTTCAGCAACAGAAGGTAACCTTGAGAAGGGGAATAAAAAGTTGGAAGGTGGGGTCCTTTGTTTTAAATTCCAATCCTATTTTGGCTTTATTTATGCCAAACATGCTTGTTCTTTTCATTCTAGGCAACATTCCTTTCCTCTCTTCTAAAGTGCCAGCCTGGAAGTATTATTTATTGGGGAAGAGATTTTTAAAAAGAAGCAGCAGCCAAACCCTCTTCCCATCTAAACTCCAGGCGGTGTTGCAGAATTGTAAACAGAGGCTAAACTTAGCTCAGTCTGATAACCACAAAGAGGAAAAGCTTCCTACTCCACCCATAGCTGCTATTCAGTGCCTGCCCCATTAAGAAAAGCTTGGGAAAATTCACGGATTTAGGACTCTTAGTTCCAGCAAGCAAACATTCCCACTGGAAGAGAAAAAGGGGCTCCTCAGTTCTGCAAAACACAATGTGATCCTGTAGGAAAATGATTTAAATTTATTTATTTAAAACATTGATATAGCTGCTCACCTTTCAAATAACTCTGGGAGGCTCCCAAACAAAGATTAAAATACATATAAAATCATTTTTATGTTTGTTACAAATCTTTATATCCAAAATGTTTACATTATTTGCTGTTCTGTGCTCCCCAATCTAAGAAATGAGCAATGCTCCACTCTCTTTGGGGACTAAAGGGCAGATTTGGAAACATATTACAGATTAACAGAAGTGACCTTGTAGGTCATCTAGTCCAACCCCCCCCCACCAAACAGGAGACCCTACACCATTTCTGACAAATGGCAATCCAATCTCTTCTTGAAAGCCTCCAGTGATGAAGCTCCCACAACTTCTGAAGGCAAGCGGTTCCATTGCTTGATTGTTCTCACTGTCAGAAAATTTCTCCTTATTTCTAGGTTGAATCTCTCCTTGATCAGCTTCCATCCATTATTCCTTGTCTGGCCTTTGGGTGCCTTGGAAAATAGCTTCATCCCTTCCTCTCTGTGGCAGTCCCTCAAATATTGGAACATGATATCATGTCTCCCCTGGTCCTTCTCTTCACTAGACTAGCCATGCCCAGTTCCTGTAACCGAAAAATTGAATTTTGAGGGCATGCGATGGACATGCCTACAAAATAGCTACCATTTGCTGAGCTTGGCCAATCACAAAACACCATTTCTCAAATAGCAGAATGGGGCTGCTCCTACCCAGGGTGCTCCCAATACATTTGCCCTTCCTTGACAGACCACTTTCAGGCAAAACGTTGCTGCTCACCCCAATTTTATTTTCAAAATATGCCATTATGCCTGTTTGGACCCCACAGGCATCATTAGGAAAGATAAGAAGCTTGAAGTTAATGTTTTGCTTGGAAGCCTGCTACTTTCCTATTTATTGATTTTCAATGCAAAGAATGTTTAATAATTAAAACCAGGTGATGTCTGGCAAATTGGTGTACATAGAAATGCATTAGGGTACAACAAGGCCTATTATTTCCAGGATAAATGTAAATAGCAAATTACTTTATTGCAGTCATTAACCAGCACAAGAGAAATGATATTCAAATATTAAAAATATCCAAAGCTAAATTGACAATGTCAGTATAGTTATGAAAAGTACAGACAGGAAAAAAATATTGCCTTTGTTTTAAAAATCTCAGATGGTCTATGGTTGTTTTTTCAGGCTGGGTTTACAGATAAACTACTCCACAGCTTGCTTAACTTTGGTTTGTTGAATAAACCAGAATTGACTAGAGATATACAGGATAATAATATAAGCTGTACTTTCTAACGCTCATTGACTGATTCACACATCTGAAATCCACCAAACCAATCTTTTTATGGCTTAATGAGATACATAAACCTAAACACACAACCGTGAGGAACTTGTGAGGTAGGTTAGGTAGAGACATTATGGTTGGATTCACATATCACACTGTCATAATATGGGCTATTTTACGTCAGTTGAGTACAATATGTGAATCCAAACATCCTTCAGATTGGGGTATTTTCAAGATAGCGTTGGAAGATTTTGTGAGATAATATGAAGTGTGAACCAACATGTTACAGCTTTTTAGCCATTCTGTGTAAAGCTAGCCAATTGTACCTTAGTCAATAAATTTTGGTTTTAAAAAAAACCAGAGCTACATTTGATGTGAGAACTCACTAGTGACTGAACAATCCATGATGGAAAGACACAATGCAAATGCAACATACTCATCAGGATCCGCCATTTGCTAAAAATTACCTCATGGAGAGATGGGTGGCAAACAAATTAAATACATTAAATAAATAAGATCAAAAGTAGTACCAAATCAAAACAAACCATAGCTTGCTATGATGGCTTAGTTCAGGGGTCTGCAAACTTAAATACTCAAAGAGCCATTTGGACCCGTTTCCCACAGAAAACACTGGGAGCCAAAAAACGTGGGTGGGCATGGCCAATTCAATGTCACTCACTTCCACCAGTCACATGACCCCCCCTAGCCACGCCTACCCAGCCGGTCATTAGGGCAGAGAACCAGTTGTTAAAAAACACCAGGAACCACAAAATCCTTTTGACATATCTCTCTCTCTCCTCCCTCCCTCCCTCTCTCTCTGTATCTCTCTGTCTCTGCCCTGGCCTCTTCTCCATCCCCCGCCGTCGCTCTTCTCAGGCCAGGCGAGGAATGACTGGGAGGGGAGAGCGAGGGGCGGGGCCAGCCAATGGTGGGATCACCTGACAGGGAGCCACAGCAGAGGGCCCAAAGAGCCGCATGCGGCTCCAGAGCCGCAGGTTGCTGACCCCTGGCTTAGTTCATGTAACATTCTAACATGCTAATGCATAGTACCTCTGTTTACACATGTTTACCTGATGGCTAATTAAGGGTTGGGTTTTTTTGTTACTCCATGGTTTTTGCATGTGTGTGCCTTCAAATTAGTTTTTGATTCCAGACAATTGCCTGGACAAGTCCTTGGAGTTTCCTTGCCAAGGTTTTATGAAAGTGGTTTGCCATTATCTGTTCCTAGGGCTGAGAGTGACTGGCCCAAGGTTTTGTGCCTAAATCAGGCCTAGAACTCACATCTCCTGGTTTCTAGCCTGGTGCTTTACCAAACTGGCTTTGAATACCAATGTTTGGGGTGAGCATATCTCACTGAACTGCCGACTCAGTTCTTACTACTTGCTTAGTTACAAAGTTGTTGGTTTATTTGTGGTTTCACAGAGGCAGTCAATGAGAGTGGCAAGGAGGACGGAGGCAGATGGACATTTGTATTATTAATAATTCAGTGTTATTAATGCCACTGATCAATACTCCAGTTCATATGCTCGACAGACAATACAAGCACAATGTAAAATTTAGAGTCAGAGAAAATTAGATAACATAACCCCTAATAAGCATATGAATCGTTCTTCTATTTACGTACGCTTCATTCCTCTCTAAATGCTGATGCTCAACCATTATAAACAGCCAGACAAAATCTTATCACTTTGCCGCGTAATTCTACAATCACAGGTAAATAGCTAACAGAAAAACCATCTGAGCCATCAGGGATTTTGCCAACTATAGGATATAACAAAAGTATTGCAAAATAAAAGGAACCGTGTAGAAGAATGTGAGCCAGCCAGCCAGCCAGCACTTCGATTATGTGTACTTCACCAGGACAAAGTCTTTTGTAATAGCGTATTTTTTTTACATACCTACCTTCCACAACTGCTGAGGAAAGGATATTAAACTGAGCCAAGGTAAATGCTCTATGCTATTTTGTTAGAGAAAGATATTCCAAATATTTTGTCACCTGGGGTTTGAACATCCCTTTTCCAATTATTACATCTGTAGTGATTCTATTATGCTCTATCTTTATGTCAATAGCAATTATCTTCTGTCTTAGCAGTACTTTAGTTTTATCATATGCCATTCTCAGAAGCATCTATGGGGCAAACCCAATGCAAATCATTCTATTCTCCTACACTGCAAGCCAGGAAGTGATCAGGGGACTTGGTTATATAGGCTCTTCTTAAGCCAAAAATTAATTATTCTTAGCCAAGTTCAACTCTGTCTTTTTCAACTTGCTTCTAATCAAAGTGCTGTATTTGAGACATGATTTCCTGCCTGAAAAACCTTTTTATAAGAACCTGGATTGTACAGGTAGTCTTCAAGTTACAACCATAATGGAACCTGCTTTTCAGCTTTGTAACTTGTGACAGGCATAAAATGAGTTGGTCACATGAACAACTCAATTTTACAATTCTTTTGTGGCGATCCTTAAGCGAATCACCACTGTTGTTAAGTGAATCAATGCTTGTTACGTAAACCAATCATTTGCTATGGGTGCGGTTCAGTGGTGGGTTGCCCCTGGTTCGGACCGGTTCGCAAGAACCAGTAGTAAAACCAGTGGGAGGCTCCGTCCACCGCCTCGGATGTCATCATAGGCGATCTGCGCATGTGTAGAAGCTTGGCACGTGTGCGAGTGAAGCAAGCGCGCGCACGTGATCCCGTTAAAAACCTGTAGTAAGGATAAGTAGAACCCTCCCTGGTGCGGGTTTCCTCAAATGAGACATTTGTTAAATGAGTTTTGCCCCATTTTACAACCTTTCTTACCATAGTTGTTAAATGAAACATTGCAGTTGATAAGTTAGTAACTTGGTTGTTAAGTGAATCTGGCTTCCCCATTGACTTTGCTTGTCAGAAGGTTGCAAAGTGTGATCACATGACCTTGGAACACAGCAACAGTCATAAATATGAACCAGTTGCCAAGCATCATTTTGATCACATGATCATGGGGATGCTGCAAAGGTCATAACTTTGAAAAACGGTCATAAGTCACATTTTTCGGTGCCATTGTAACTTTGAATGGTCACTAAATGAATTGTTGTAAATTGAGGAGTAGCTGTATAAATATTGTTCCTAGTTAAAAAAAACATACTCAAAGATCTATGTGATGAAATCTGTATATTACTCCACTGGGATATATTTATTTGCAATTTAAGGGGGATTAAATTCTATTTTCTCATGCTTTGAGTCTGGATAAATATAGAAATTGCAGACCAACGGGACAACCAACATT